GCCGGTGCAGATGCACCCTAATGTGCACAGTGAGGATAATTGTCCATTTTTTAATCCACTCTTCCTCCTCAGCAGTGTGTGTCAGTCAGCCTTCTCAGCGAGGCCGCTCAGCCCCCGCTGGCAGTCCTGACCTGTCAATCACAGCTCATCCGTCAGGACTCATGGGAACGGGGATTGAAAGAGTTTGGATTGAATTAGTGTTGCAGGATGTCACATCTTTACCATGAACTCCATGACAATGTTTGAGGGAAAAGCCCGGGCGGCCGAGTGTATTATCACTACTGAAGTAACCCACAGTCTGCAAGGTTGCTCTAAATCCATGTAAAGGCTGTAGCCTGCAGCTGTAAGCTTTGCAAATGCAGCTATTATTGAAGTGGCAAAGTGCCCTACTTACCCTTCAGAGACTAGCCCTGAAATGAACCACGAGTGGGTGGCTGACGGCGACTTTATGTTAAACTGTGTGAGGCACGTTGTGTATGAGCAGCACGGAGGGAAAGAAAGCAGTCGCCCACCACTAGAGACCTGGGTTCATTTCCCAGCAGGAAAACCTCTAGGCCCCCCCTAATGTTATGACTGGGCTTAATACTTGAGGTTAACACGTGTTTATTCTACCAAGAAGTGACTTAAAGTAACTCGGTGAGTTCTCCTTTGCTTCCTGTTTACGTGTATATGAATTTTAAAGATTTAAACCGTAAGAGACTTGAACAGAACTCCTGTCAATGTTTCATAACCGTTCAAATGGCTCACCAAGCCACAGGTTGTGTTTTTAGGGCACAGAAGAAGATAACATCAAGCTGGCTACACACCAGATGATTTAAGGCCCGATTTGCCCCTCCCCCAACGATCGTGGCCTGTATGCAATTTTTTTTTTCTCCAAAGAATCCTCGAGTATCAAATGTGTTTGATGTGACTCAGCTCATTTGTGTGCATGAAGGTGGAGAAAGACAGTTTTATAAGTACCTGTGTTTAGCAGGAAGTTGTTTTCAGTTTTTTGCGTGTTGAAGGTGGAGTCAGTAGCTTTGTTTTTTTGCAGCTTGTTACCACAACATTCAACCTGCTCCCCTCCTCCTCTACCTGTAAGCTGATGCTGATAGGGTCACATTTCCTGATGTGATTCTTTCATAATAGATGCTTTTAAACTACATGATAAGCGGTATTTTATCGCTTTGCCGCATCACTAATAGACACCTATGTGAGTAAACCTGGTGGTAAATAGGCGTCAATTACATCCAAATAAAAACAGACCCTGATTATCTTCTTGAACTTTGGCTGAACAGCTCAGTGCATGCAGTGCCAGCCTTCCTTCCCACTGACCCCCCCCCCCCCCCCCCCGATCAGTACAATGAGAGCTGAGGTCTTCTGCGTGGATCCTGCCGGCCCGTTCAGCAGACCCACTCATCTGTCCCAGCAGTGAGCAGCAGAATGACTGAGCCCGTTGTGCCTGCTCTGGTCATGTGACAGCTTTGTGTGTCTCAATGACTTTCCCCCCGCAGCCTCTGTGCCATTATGTTTTATCGGAGGAGGGCTGCTGATGAAAAGAGAGAGTCAGCTCTGCCTCCGGGGGCCAGGGGGCTCCACAGACTCACTGCAGAGCATGCTGGGAGTCCGTCGCCATGGCTGCATCCGGCGGCGGAGAGGAAGGAGGCCGCAGAGCTGAGGCAGACATGTCGAGCAGCCAAATGGCAATTTTCTGCTGGTGGAGAAGACTTAAATCACATGTTAGAGTCACACACTGAGGTCGGCGCGAGTATTTTGGGAAGCCCTCACAATTCCTCTGCACAGACATCAGAAATAACTGAGCTCCAACCTGTGACTGAAAAAAGCTCTGGAGAGTCTGAACATCTGAATACTGCTGGTTGTTTACTCACTGTAGTAAAAAATGTTTTCAAAGGACAAGAAGAAGGTCAAACCACATCTCTCATCTCATCCTGTTGTCTTCATTACCTGGCCTCTCTCTCTTTGTCTCTCTCTCTCACTTCCTCTCTGTCGCTTCTTCTCTTTCAGTCCGCTGTTATCTGCAGAGAGAATGAAAAATGGCCAAAGTGTTCAATGCATTTGTTTCATTTCTAGCGTCATACAGCCAGCTCACAAGTACCTCCACTTCTCCAACCCCCTACGACCCCCCCACCCCCCACCCCCAATGAGAAAGAGCACTGTAGAAAATGGATGGATGAAGAGTTTTTGGTCTCAAACCCCCCAAAAAATCTGTTACTGTGTAGTCGGTACAGCCCTGTGTGTGTGTGTGTGTGTGTGTGTGTGTGTGTGTGTGTGTGTGTGTGTGTGTGTGTGTGTGTGTGTGTGTGTGTGTGTGTGTGTGTGTGTGTGTGTGTGTGTGTGTGTGTGTGTGTGTGTGTGTGTGTGTGTGTGATAATATCTGTTATATGAGCTTTTTTTTTTGTCTGCACTGACAATCTGCACGCAAAGTACCACATGTCTTTCAGGCTGTTTCCCATCATGCAGTGCTTCATGCGTATTGATTGTGCTGCTCACTTTTAACACTCAGAACATTAAATCTGTTGAGGTCTAGTTTAACTAACAACAGGAAGTCATCACATAACAGACCCTGCATCAGAAACCCCCTGCAGCAGCAGCCGGAGCAGCAGCAGCTGCAGCTGCAGCAGGTTGCCATGTGTTTGTTGCTGCAAACAGTTTCATCACATTGAAGAAGAAGCCTGCATGCAGCTTCTTCTTCCTCGCTCTGCTCCAGCATCAGGCAAGCCACAGAGACAGATTAGATTAGATTAGCAAGGCTGAGCTTTAGAGTCAAATCAGCAGCTAATAGGTTGTGAACATGTTTGGCAGCAGTGACAGTGTGTCTCTTGTAAATAAAGGGCAGTGAGGAGGCGTGCTGTGCAGTTCACCCCGGCCCTCCTGCACACACACACAATGACTGCACTGTGTACCTCCACTGTCAGTCTCAGAGCTGGCAGAGTAGACACTGTGAAGTTTATCCACTGGGTGTTTGCTGGAGATTTATCTGGATCATATAAAGTGTCACTGTTTCTGCTGCGTGGGGTTCTCTTCACTTTCTCCGTGTCAGAGTCGTGTTGTTGAAGAGCGTGAGCAGCAGCTATAGGAGCTCCAATATGCTGAAGCAGAATGTCTCTTTTTCTTTTTTTTAGGATGACATCTTTCATCAAAGTGAGGCCGTCTGGAGGTTGAAACAGGGACGTGCTGTACTTTAATCTCCTTTCTTCAGGAATATTATAACCTGACATTCAGCACATGTTTCACAGGCTGTCCCTTTATTTTACATTTAACAACTTACCTGTGAAGCTTAAGACATGTTGAAATAATTCTCTGTGTAAATCGACTCTGGTGGTTCTGAAGAAAGTCATGCAATCTTTATTTCTGAATCTATTGCAGCATCCTCTGTTACCGCTTTATCATTTAGACCCCCAATAGAGGGGGGGGGGGACAGGATGTAAAAAGAATGATGCAGAAGCTGCAGATGAAGTAACAGAATCCTCTCTACGATGCTATAATAAAGAAGATTTGCCTTTACAATATGAACTGAAGAGTGGAGAAGAACAAACTGGAGAACAGGAAACATAACACAGCAGGTTCATATCGTGCACTGAGATCATAGCAGTCGTGTGCAGACAGTCTGTGGTCGTGCATGAATCACAGTATATAAACGTCACCTCCCCCTCTTCACTGGCTCCAGGTGAATTCTCCTGATTAAATCCTGCTGCGTTCTCACATCAGCTCACTCAGACTTCATTTGGGATACTCGGGGTCTGGACGTAGAAACTCCTGCATTCACACCATTGACTGTATATAATCAATGAAGTCGAGTGACGTCGCCCATCTGTTCCTGCAGGGGGCTTTGGAGTCCCATCCATGGTGGTCTCCATGCTGGAAATCCTTTCTCAGTCTAACTTTTAGTCAACCTAACAACAGACTGAGAGCTGGAGCTGAGGCGGGTTTTAAACCTCCTGACAAACTCTTACACCTCGCCCACCTGTTAATCATGAACGTGTGTGTACTTGACTTCTGGGGCTTCTGGAGCCTCAAGTGGACACTCGAGGAACTGCAGAATTTTGGCCTTCCTCGTCGTCTTAATTTTTCAACCGGATTGTTAAGAACCTGCAGCTCACTTGAAAACTTAAGGCGTTTTTCAGGAGTTTTGTGTAAAGTATGCTCAGGTCTAATTGTCAAACTTGTGTTGGAGTCTTACACCGAGACATGAGGTTTGTAAGACATGCTCCAGAGGAATTAGAGGAGGGACCAACAGGACTAATCTCAAAGCTCATTTGAAAAACAGACCCAACGACATGTGAAGAAGTTCAAATAAATATTGGTTTTGAATGGGCTGCAATTTTATTCGAAACACCTGTATCAGTATTGACCCTGATTTTTTACACTGTGCTTCTCCTCGTGTGATGGAGTCTTCAAACATTGCTCAGGTGGTGTTTACTCGGAGGAGTAATCTACTTCTTTTACAATGAGCCACACGGGCATGAATACATCCCAGTCTTTTGTTCTTCCTCGTCAAGCAGCAGAAACCCTTTTCAAAACGAGTCACTGTGTGAAAGAAAAGAAAAGTGTTGGCACTGAGAGAAGTCGTTCTTCATGTTGTGATGCCACACACTTAACAGCATGTCATCACTCACACCTGAGAGGTGAATAGATGCTGGCCCTGCTGGACAGGCCCAACAAACTACAGAGCCAATCAAGCAGCTGGCAGCTCCTGTGCTCTTGACACCCCCCTGGTGTTTACTCTCAGAGTTACAGTCACACCTGTCTGCTCCAGGTGAGGAGGTCTTTGTCTTTCTAAGTGGATTTGACCTCTTCCTCCCTCGTTCATGTTTATTAATCACCATGAGAAGAGGTCACAGAAGCTACTGGTGCTAACACAGGCACCACTCTCCCAAAGCATTGTGGGAAAAATGAGCAAGTAGACGCTTGTGAATGACAGCGCCGGCACACGCAGCCGACGTTCATGTTTTAAATGAAATGTCTGGATGAATAATGTAGCGTCTCTTGTGTCCCTGCAGGGCCTCTGTTTTGGCGGCGCACAAAGCAATGTGGAGGAAATAAAACTTGTGACACGCTGAAAACAAGAGGTAAGACTCTCACACCGACGCTCTCACACACTCTCGCTGTCATCTGTAACTACATGAGAAAGTAACACATTACTTCAGGGCTGACTGCAGGTGTTTGGACTTCATCACACGCTCATTCTGGAGTCATTCCAGTGCAGGGTGTAACCCTGCCTCTCGCTCAATGACAGCTGGGATCGACTCCCTGCCTGTCGCTGAACCAGAAAAGCAGGATAGATGATGTACGGATGATGAAAAAAAGTTTCTGATCTTCTTTATAGTTGTTTATGAATGAAATCTTCGATGCCCCTTGGAGAATTTATCCTGCACTGAGAGCATGATAACATGACAGAGACGAGACACATCAACAACCAGACTGCACTGAACAGAATACCATCAACACAAATCACTCAAATGCATCATTAGAGTCTCACATGATCACCTGTAAGAGGCTTCTAGGAGCAGGTTCAGTAAAGTCCAGAGTGCCAAGTTAATCCTCATCCTGGTCTCTCTGCACCCTGAAGTCAAGAGTTCATACTCAGACCTAAGAGGGGGGCAGAGGGTCCGCTGTGATCTTGTTCGCTAGGAGCAGTGTGTACTGGTCTGTCGGGTCAGAAATGCAGCACCCAGTTATCTAGTTTTAGTATTTCTGTTGCAGGATTATTTTAAGTGTGTCAAAAGGATAAAAAACAACCACACGCACACATTAACCACGTACAGATACACACACACACACATTAAAGCACGTACAGATACACACACACACATTAAAGCACGTACAGATACACACACACACACATTAAAGCACGTACAGATACACACACACACACATTAAAGCACGTACAGATACACACACACACACATTAAAGCACGTACAGATACACACACACACACATTAAAGCACGTACAGATACACACACATGCACACACATTAAAGCACGTACAGATACACACACACTAAAGCACGCACAGATACACACACACACACACACACATTAAAGCACGCACAGATACACACACACACATTAAAGCACGTACAGATACACACACACACACATTAAAGCACGTACAGATACACACACATGCACACACATTAAAGCACGTACAGATACACACACACTAAAGCACGCACAGATACACACACACACACACACATTAAAGCACGCACAGATACACACACACACACACACATTAAAGCACGCACAGATACACACACACACACACACACACACACACACATTAAAGCACGCACAGATACACACACACACACACACATTAAAGCACGCACAGATACACACACAGCTGGCCACCACTAGTTGAGATCCTGTGCCAGAGGCAGGCCTGCTGTCCCACACACACACACACACACACACACACACACACACACACACACACACACACACACACACACACACACACACACACACACCTGTGCACAGTGTGTGTGTGTGTACCGGTGCACCATGGAGCAGAATGTGGCCTCTTGTTGTTGCAGGTTGACCCACAGGGCTGCAGATTCAACCAGCTAAAAGCTAAAGTGATGTTTTCCTCTCTCTATCCTCACGTAGTGCACGACCCGAGCCAGCTGTCTGCTCCTGCTGCTGCCATCTTTAATCCACAGACACGGCAGCAGTCACACACATCCCTGCAGGGGTTAATGACCGTCATGTATTCCCCCCCCCCCCCCCCCCGATCTGTATGAGTGTTTTTATTTTTTCTTATCCCATGTAACATATTGCATGAGATGAGGCTGCAGATGAAAGATGTTTCAGTTGCTTCCTAATCCAAGTGTTAGCATGCTGGGTCCCTGCTAGGTTTGAGTGGAACACGATGGCTCTGATGTCAGATTAACGCTGGCAGCAGCAGCAGCAGCAGCAGCAGCGTGTGCTTTGCCTCTTCACAGAACAGCTCACCCTGTACCTTAGCTCCAGAACAGTTTGTAAAAACTTTGTGATTCTATCAAATGAGCAAATTTTTACATCATGAAGGATAATGCATTTAGACTCAATACATGGACATCTATTATCTCACTTTCAACATCTATAGAGTAACTTTTCATGATCTGCACCTCCTTAATAATCTGATACTGGCGTCAGTAAAATCCCTCATCTCAAACACTTCATGCAGCATGGTAGGTTGTAAATGTAAACGTGACAAAAGGCATCTGAAAGTTATGTACAGAAGTCTCCAGAGATCAAATCCAGAAGCAGATCCAGTGAATAAACCAGAAAATAACTGTGATGAGTGAGGATCTGCATCGGCTGCAGGTTCGACTGCATTGTCTACAACTCTCTCTCTTTTGATCTGTGAGCTCATTTACATATTTAAAGGTACAGACACAGAAACAGCCTGTTCTGAGCAGGGCTGAAATAGAGGGGTTTATAGACATGATCAAATACAGGATCAGAGTGGATTTAGAACAAGAACTTCACACATGTTTTGAGGAGCTCTGAGACTTATTTAAACTGGTTGAAGAGGAGGAGGATATGTGACCTTTAAGATTAGAGCAGTGGAGTAGGTGCCTCACATGCAGAGGAAAGTTCTTGATGAAATGATCATCAGTTTGAGTCGGCCTTTCAGTGCATGTCATCCCCGCCCTCTCTCCTCCATGTTTCCTGTCAGCTGTCCCATCAATAAGGGCAAAGGGCAAAAAAGAAAGAAAGCGAGAATTGAAACCCTCATTAAGGCCTTTCTTACAGAATAAGTGAAGCTTTTGTTCTACACCGCAGCATTTTGTCAGCCTCTCTTGTTAGTCGTCCATTAGTGGAGTGGAGATATTTCAGTCTGGAGCTTCCTCCTCTATTTGACAGTGAGTGGGGCTTCTGACATCTTGAACTTAGGTCTTCTCACAAAGGAGACACATTGTTACTGACGCAGCCGAGCGCCCGACAAACAGCTATAAACGGAGAGGATGCTAGGCTACAAATCACGCGTTTGTGGAAATATGCTGAACAAGGGAATCTTCCAGGAAACCAGAGTCAGCTGAGCATCCGACACTCATAGCGATGTGTGTTCATTATGCAGGCTCAGTCATCGCTGAACTAATAGCTCCTTTATTATGTGTGCTCCACTTTCCTATTCGGCAGTGTCTCGCTGCTCGGAGAAGGAGCCAGCAATCAACCCCCGGCTTGATGCGGGGGGGGGGGTTAGAGTCACACTTTTTTTTGCTTGTGACTCAGCAGAGATTCTTCTGGGGCGTTGAGGTGGCGGTGACATGGAAGATATACCCGCCACAGAAGAAGCAGCTCTGCAGAGAGAGAACATCAAGAGGCACCTCACTGTGGGAACATGGAGCAGATGTGTCTGTTAGTGTGTGTGTGTGTGTGTATGTTAGTGTGTGTGTGTGTGTGTGTGTGTGTGTGTGTGTGTGTGTGTGTGTGTGTGTGTGTGTGTGTGTGTGTGTGTGTGTGTGTGTGTGTGTGTGTGCGCGCGCTTCAGTGCTCTCGCTGGGTGGGTGGTATTGTAGGCTGGTGAGAAACAGAAGAATGAGTCACTGATTCCAATCATGTTTTCATGCCTCCACTTCTCTCTGAGAGTCGCTGCTTGGTGCAGAAAGAAGAGCTAAACGGCACAGTGGTGATCATCACCCTCACATCGTCCCAGACACTGCTGTTCTGCAGCCATGGGACTCGAACCCAAACTGGTGTGCCTCGATCTTAACGCTGGATTTGGTAACAATCGATTTGGATAGATTTACACAGCTGAAAGACATGCAACAACAGACATGTTTATTGGAGAGTCCGGGCAGTGTGTAGAGTCAAAAGTCGAAGAGAGAGAGAGTAGGGAATGACATGCGGGAAAGGAGCGTCAGGTGGGATTTGAACCCCGGCCGTACGCCTTGAGGACTACAGCCTCTGTACATGGAGTGTGCAAACTTTCCACTCAGTCATCGATGCCCCAGTTTGTCTTTTCAGTTTCAAATCAGGAATCAAAACATTTACAGACATTTTATTTCTTTTTTCATGTAATTCACCTTCCTCCTTTTTTTAGTGCTGTTATAGTAGCAGTAGTAAAGCTGTCTCTTACAACAAGGAGAAGAAGACTTAATACACCGGTGACAGAATCTTAAGTTCTCTGAAACCTGAGCTAAACTATCTTCAGCAGAAGCCGGGAACCTCAACGTAGAGATAAAGTGTGAGTGTGACTGCTTCATTCTGTGTTTTCCTGTTTTAATAACTCGGCCTGTTGGTCTCAGAGAGGACGAGACCTCTGTGGATGACTGAGCTCCTGGTGGAAACCTCATGAACGATAAAGACTGAAAAGATGATAACCTGAAAACTTAGCTTACAGGAGATGCTAATCTTGTGGTAGCTTAGCGAACAGTCTCTCAAATTCTCTGAAATTCAGAAACCTCCTTATTTATCTGGTAGTGGCATCAGTAAAAACCCTCTATTCAACCTCTGCCTGAAACAGCTTGTTTGAGCCTCTGTCTCTTTAAGGCTCCCCATGTGCTCACTTTCTTCTGATTGGTCAGCTCTCTGAATGCCTCTGAACACTGCAGGGCTGCCAGGTGAGGTCTGCTCTCCAGTGCTGGGAGAAGAGTCCCTATGAACGAGGTTTCACCGCCTTACGTAGAGGCTTGAAGTCGTCTGCTTAAAATTCTTGTTTCATATCTCCGGGAGGAGCTGGAAAACGTTTCTGGGGAGGGGAAGTATGGGTTGACTTACTTACTGCTCCTGCTGCCAAAGCGACACGACCTCAGATAAGCGGAAGAAAAAAGAAAATGAACGTTTACCTCATGATCTGAAACTTAGGTCAACTTCAAAAAGTAGATTACAGATGAATGTGCGATACAGAATCAAATAGTTTTCTGAGCCCTGCAGCATTATCAACCTATACTGTGTGATAAATACTGATCAATATGGAAACAACATATTGTGATCATATTATTCCCTGAGTCCTGTTTGCTCTGTGGTCCCCCCCCCCTCAGCTTGTTACTTCCTCAGTAATGGCTGCACCAGTGTGGGCTGAGGCTCCACTGTGGATGGTAGAAGAAGCAGTCTGTGGGTAGAAGTGGTGCAGCT